ACTCAATTGATAATACTAAATTACCTTATCCACTATAATCCAAGCAAGTGAACACTATTTCACTTGAAATTTCCCTGTTATACTCTCTCATAGACGCAGCACCGCAGTTTCTTAGAAACTTACCCCTTTATAGTGGATTAGACTGATTTGGAATAAATTGTTTTGACGAATTTGGCTGAAGTACTTTGAAATTAAAACTAGTAGATTGGGTTGGATTGTAGAGGGTCGGAAATGGCTGGCTAGAATTTCTTATGGTGAATTAGAGTGGAGTTGGGTTGGATCAAATTGTATTAGGGTGCAATGGAGTGGACTGAGATGAATTTCGCAAGCTTTTCTACGCACAAAGTCGTGCAAGTAAAGATCCCATTCATTTTATTGCACAATCAATTAAGATATCTTGCTGCATGCAATAAATACAACTATTCATTGCCTAACTCGAAGCCCATGGCAAATAGGCTTTTACTTGACGAATTTGAAGTGCTAACATCCACTTATGCTCCCTCTTAAATTAAGGTTTTACATGCATGTTTTACGGGGGTCTATAATGAAAGGAACGAATTCTTTGGTTTTGTTTTTATGACGGTCTCTAGAACAGTTTCTTTAGAATGTTAAAGCCTGTTCTCATTATTTATTTCGGGACGATTTATTATGGTAGGGGATGGTAGTTTTTAGCACAATCTGGATTTCCTGGAAACAACTTTACTTTCGTTGCTTCCTCCAAGTACATCTCCAGGTCAGTTACCCTCATTTGTGTTTGATGTAGCTTGGTTTTGTCATAATGATTGTTGCTCATCACTGCAAAGGACTCTGCTCTTGGCCTTCCGGTCTCCATCCACACACAACATCCCGCCGTCCAAACAGCTTGAGGAGTATCAAGGCGTATTGTTTTAGTTGCCACTTTAAATGTATTGGTAATGGACGGCTTCGTTACGCCCTTGAGGCCATTTTCGGATCTGCCTGTCAGTAGGTAAAGGGTTCCTTGGCGAGTTTGACTCCCACAGGTAGTTTTGGCATATTTTCTTATCTTTCCCTCAGAATCCCGCCAAGGTCCGCTGTTTGATTTCGTAAACTGAGGTACAGCATTCGTAAGAGTGAAAGTAGCTTTCATGAATCTTGTGTCAAAGGAATTGATAGCGCTGGGGTTCATATGGCCTCTGGCAATTTTTTGACCCTTGAACTTTCTTTGAGCTTCTGCGTTGGCTAGCATATAAGCATCATTGACACCACGAACACCTATAATCATAAGTCACATTCTTCCATGAATACAGATAACTTCTCACATTTAAATTATCAAATCATATTCTTCTGAATACGATGACGATGATGGCAATTTTTTGTCTTTCCCAAGATGATAAAATTACTAGTTACATAAGTTCGATCTTTGAACATTCCAGGGAATCATGTCGCTTTTTTATCTCTTTCCTGAAATTACGGGAGTATGAAGCATTCTAACTGCACTTTCGTTTCTCTTGAAAACATAGAGATTCTGTGCAAAACAAGGGTTGTTTTGCGGAAAAAAAAATAGGAAGAAGCAATATAATGGCTTTCCCCACTTCTTTAGTGACGTTGCGTGTTTTTTAGTTACGCGGGGTATACTCCCAGTCTCTGTATTTGTTTTATGGATTGATTGTGCTCCAATCGGCCGTGTAATAAATAGTTGTCAAATAGCCATTTACGTACCTGGAGGATTCTTCCATATTGCATTTTTGGGTCTCTTATGCTTGTCAATGTTCTTTGCCTGCCCGGGTAAAACTTTGTAGGCTGAATAAAAGGGAGTGTTTGTGACTGGATCAAAGAAAGAAACAAAAGAAGGGGGCGCTCCATGCTTGAGTTCTTTCCCACGATTAAAGTCAGGAAGGCCAACTGGACGCTTTCCTCCAACGAAAAAAAGAGGCACATGAAGTCCGCTCGAGAAAAATCTTGTCCCTTCATTTGGCGATTTCTCTGAAGGAAAAGTACACATAATTGGTGACAAAATTGCAAAGCAACGATAGGGTAGTTTTATCGGATTAATTTAACAACTCAACTAGAATTAACTTAACCGATTACGTAATTAGATCGATGGCAATGACCTAGAGTTACGACAACTGAGTGGTATTACCATCAGAGACGAGGGGTACCTTGTTTGTCAGTCGAGTCTTTAACTTATTCTGGTATTGTGAAGCTAATTGGTGAATTTTATCTAGATGCTTTTTTGTGGGAAGACTTAACTACAGTGAAGAACCCATAACAACCTAAAATTTAAGAAACTGTTGGGCTAAAATGTTTTTGTCGACCACCCTTCACATAAGAACCATTTTAGGCTAAAATCTCAATACAGGTTCTTATTTTTAGAAGACAGAGTTTTTTCAAATATATTACAGTACATCATGTGCGATACAAAAAGGGCAACAAAAAATAGCCTGAACACCGGCAGTGTTATAAGACCACAGTAGTGTACTGCCAATACATCCATAGCTGTGCAACATATCCGACTGTGTGTACAAGTTAACCATGTAAAGCAGGGTAATATGAGGCTGGCATACAGCGCAGTGTCACACTT